GACCCCTAGAGGACGCAGTGTCTCGTTCCCTACTCAGGGAACCATGGTTACATACATAACCTGAGACGTTTGTTATGGCCATCATCCAGGGTTTGAACAGCGGTCCAACAAAAATATCCCCACTATGAGATAAGACAGCCACAGCAGAGAGATTGCAAACCGGTCACAGCTGAGAGCGGATAGATGATTACTGATGACTGACTTGTGCGATACGAGTGAAACTGTAAACGTCAGCCTTTCTTTAGATTTAACAGTTCTGATCCTGGAATATCTCAAAAGCACTAGAAGTTAATGCGTGTCAAGAGTGTTGCATTTTAAGGCTGAAAAAGTAAAAAAATTGTCTTAAAAACAAAGAATGTTGTTTTTAAACAGAATTCTGAGGTACTGGCTCAATAATTCATATCTAATGAAAATGAAAAATCCTCCATAGTGTTGTCAGCAAGCATACAGATGAGGACGACAAAAATATTAAGCAGCAATTCAACAAGGTTTATTTATTGAAGCCTTGGAAGAGGACAAAACGATGATCATAGCTAAGGGTATATTTCAGAAGTTCTGAGTATAACTTAGCTTGAGCAGGTGGAGATGGACCCGGAGAGGTAAGTATCCAACGAGAGGAGCCAGGTAAGCTGATGCACACATGTGAACAACAAGACCAGACACTGAAGGAGTGATGAGATGGTGGCTTTATACCAGTCCTAATTAGTGACGGCAGGTGGAGTGCTTCAGTATTTGGGTGATTGTGGACGAGTGGGAGGGGCCGAAGGATCTGGCATGGCTGTGGCTGTTGACTCCGTGACAAGTGTTTACTACTGTTCAAAAGTATGTTTTTTTTTTTAAATTAATGTTTATTTAGCAGAGAGACTTTACATTGATTGAACGTGGCAGTAAAAGACATTTATAATATACCAAAATATTTTTATTTCAAATAAATGCTGTTCTTTTGAGCTTTCTATTCATCAAAGAATCTTGAAAAAATATATATTGGTTTACACAAAAATTTAAGCATAACAACTGAACAGTTTTCAACATAATAATAAGAAATAATAAGAAATGTTTCTTGAGCATCAAATCAGCATAATAGAGTGATTTCTGAGGAATCATGTGACACCGAAGACTGGAGTAATGAATGCTGAAAATTCTTTGCATCACAGGAATAAATTAAATTTTTAAATATATTCCTGAGCATAAAAGACTTCTAAAACATAAAAAAATCTAAACCAAAGTTTTTAGCCATTTTGACACCCTAGGAGAAATCCAAATTGGCGCCCATCCACCCCAATAAATGTTATTACATTTGGATTTGGATACATGTTTAGATATTATCGATGACTACTTTTTGTCTTTGTGTTTTTTTTTAAATAGTTTTTTGTTGTTTGAAATGTTGATTTAAAGTGTCCATTTTTCATTATTATTTCAGTCAAACCTATAAAAAACTTTGTTACCCCAAACTACATAAAAAAAGCTTGATCAGTCACATAAAATAATCAGACTCCAGCTACTAATTCCTTTGTTACTCATTGACGCATGAACTTCCCCTTTAAATGACGTGGCGCTCTGCTCTCTATGTGTATGACGCTGCTTCCATTAAGTGTTGTTAGTAGTGAATGAATGAATTCAGCATTTCAACATTTCCTTAAGGATGCACTAAATTCAACAAAGCGGTTTAATATATAGGATGTATTGATCTTGTGATTTAGTGAATTTTACTATGCCAATATTTTTTAAATTGGCCGTTAAATTTTTATATGTGAATATTACACACACCACGCTGATACTTTAACAATGCATTGGCACAAAAAAGCACACCTTTTGGACCAATTTTGCAGCGTGATTTCTCGACTGCCACAAATCCTGCCTTAACAAAATACTAATTTTGTGCTCTTTTTTACTGTACCAATATTTTAAATTGGTCTTTGAACTTAGCTTTATTGCAAGGCTAAAAACAACAAAAAAACATGTTACTTTGCCAAAGCACTAACAGAACCCATAGATCTAATGGTGCTGGTCAGTGCTGTTGTTAAAAGTAGCTTCTATCAATTGCGAATTATTGCTAAATTGAAGAGAATTCTGTATTTTGAGGATATGGAAACCGCGATTCATGCTTTTATTTCATCCAGATTGGATTATTGCAACTCATTATATTTAGTGTTGTCTAAGAATCTGCTCTCACGGCTGCAGCTAGTACAAAATGCTGCAGCTAGACTGTTGACTGGCACAAGGAAATGTTCCAACATTTCTCCAGTGCTGGCTTCGCTGCACTGGCTTCCTGTTGATTTTAGAGTCCAATATAAAGTTTTGATAATGGTTTTTAAAGGTTTGCATGGCCTTGCTCCAGAGTACATTTCATGTCTGTTACAGCAGCACTGTGTTGCTAGACCTCTACGATCATCACAGAGTCTGCTTTTACATGTTCCCAGATCATGGTTGAAAACCAAAGGTGATCGAGCCTTCTCTGTGGCAGCCCCACATCTTTGGAATGGTCTCCCATTGCACATTAGATCATGTGACTCACTTGACTGTTTTAAATCAATGTTGAAAACACACCTTTACTCTGTGGCATACAGTTGCCCCTAGCTTTTGGGACACTGAGCAGTGATGGATATTGTGTGTATTGTGTTTGAGTAATTTTTAGACATTTAAAGAACTTTGGTCAACTGGTGTTGTTTTAAATGTGCTATATAAATAAATGTTGATTGATTGTGGAGCGCTCAAAATGCAAACTTTGCATGCAACAATCCAGCAGCAATTGACAGTGCTCTGATCCAATGGCATACTGTCAGGGATCTGGAAGGAGGACCCATTAGCAGATTGAGTGATGAGGATTTATTGACAAAACAGACTGATACAAGAGGGTAGTGAGGTGCACAGGTGATACAACATCAGGAACACAGTAAACAAAGAAACAGCTAGGGAAGACCACTGGAACGGTCTCGGAGAGCAACTGGCAGATTACAATAGCAGCAGCAGGAGCGGCAAGACCAGGCAGATAGAGAGGGCCAAGCAAGGTACCATAGAGCTGAGCTCAGACACTTGTTGAACACCGACTCTAAAGTGGACTAAGTACCAGGCAGGGAGAACCAGTGGCAGGACTCACAGGCACAGGTCAGAACGGGAACTCCTACACAAAGAAACAAGACAGGATAAAGCTCCACAGTAACAATTACTCCAAAACAGGCCAGGGGGATAAATAAAACAAAAGAACTGATAAAAAGTAAAGTAACTAAATAAATAAGAAATAATTACCAAATCTAACCAACACAACTAACTTAAAGAATATCAAACAAAAATACAAAACAAAAGATAAGGACTAGAAGAACTGGATAAATAAAATAAAATAAAAAAAAGTGACAAAAGGCAAAAACAGACAAAATGCAAAGACAAGAACATGGAACTACAAAGTACTAGACAAGACAAGGGCACAAGACTAACCAGGGAGACAAGAACACACCCACATCCACAGATAGAGAAAAAGACAGTGATAGAAGGGGTGAAAATGACCACGAACCAGCAAAGACAATAGGGCAAGGGACACTATAAATAGGGAGGAAAACACACGAGGAACAGGTGAGAGCAATTACACTAACAAGGACTCAATGAGGGCTAACAAGAGGGTGTGGTAATGAGGAAACCAGGAGGAGAGGCTAGAGAAGCACATGGCTGAGAAAAACAATCAAGTGTGCTGACACAAGACAACATAGACACAAGAAACAAACACAAGACAAACAGAGTGTCAGGGCAAAACCCTGACACATACAGGCATTGTCAGATTGACAGTACTCTAGCCCAATGATGTTGGGGGATCCAGTGGGGGTGTCAATCATATTTCTGGTTGGCCGTGCCATTCTTAATCACAACCCTGCTAAAATGTAGTGCCAGTACGTGCGCTCATTGGCACCCCCTCCTGCTGGTGGCGCCCTAGGCGACTGCCTAGTTTGCCTATGCCTAGAAACGTTACTGATAAAAATGCATCTGATTTGCCAGTGAATCAGTTTCATTATACCAAGGTGTCAAGGTTTTGCTGCTTAGCGCCTGGTAGATGTGAGACATAATACACTGTATATTTGAATAAATTGTTTTGTAAGCAAAATACAAATCACAAATATTTCATTATTTTTAGCAGTTCTTGAACATTTTGGGCTCTTAAAAAAAAAAAACATAAAAATGACTGTAATGTCACAGCTCACTAGTGAAAGGTTTGCAACTGTGCACAATCTAGTAAAGCCACCAGCCATAATTTTCCTGCCATTAGTGACAATGATTAGTCACATGACATTTATGACTCAGGTGATTGGCTCAAAACAACCTGGCCACAGAACTAAGCAACCAAAGATGGCAGATTCACACTCAGTTCCTCTATTCCACCGACGCATCTAAAGACCTCATCCCACCTGACTCTCTGGTTCATCGTCTGATAAGTGTAAGGAGAGGAAATTTTCCATTATGAGCCATCCTCACCTTATCAACCTGGTGTTTACCCAAGTCTGAGACCAGCTGCATGCCGAAAACCATTACCAACAAGCGCGTTATCACGAGACGCCAGGTGACGGCTAAATGTCTGAAATCCAAATTTCTGAGTGGACAAAGCAAGCCTTCCGTCTATCTACAAGTTTCTGAGTTTCAATCCAACACCAGCCTCACGCCAGTGGTGACGTATGGCTATGTAGAGCAAATTCATCACTGAGAGATGGCTAATTAACCCCTAGTCAATAAGATTCAGGTAAACGGCTGATTATTCTCTTGTGTACATGAATGATGAGAGCTTGATTTCCCCGTTCCCCAGATAATAGGGCTCGTTGGAGACTAATTGAGCTGTAGAGTGATGTGTCTGCAATGCATTAATACATCAAATCCAGACAGGGTACTCCACTCAGGAGTAGGAGAGGAGGTTATCAAAGACTATTTAGATCTTGGCTTTTTCAAACATTACTATTTACTTGTGATTTGTCAAGTGGTAAAACCTGGTGAGTTATCAATACATTTCTATAGCATATACTCACCCTGTAGAGGGGGTCATGATGCAGCCGCCACGATCTACGGTCATCCTACAGCCGCATCCTCGCTCTGGTGTGTCATGGTTCATTCCAAAGTTATGGCCCAACTCATGGGCCAAAGTCACAGCAGCTCCCAGAGGATTGTCTGAGTGATCCTAGGAAACAACAGGATGTCATATAATGCCTTAAACTACAGCTAACTTTCAAACAAAGCAGCTTTTTGTTGGTCAGTGGGGCAACTTTGCTTGACCAACTTGAACACATTGCAAAATCAGTGAGGGGAAATCTTTTACTCTCACAGAAAATTCCCGATTGTGTGGATTCCCATTTAAATGACTGGATTTTGCCCGTGAAAGTTTGCTGAACAACAGAAAAAGTGTCTGCACCTTTACATTAAAGGAGAGATTGGAACCATGTATAAAGACAAGAATAGAACCACACAGAACACTCTAGAAACCACCTAGCAACCACCCAGAACATCTTAGCAACTGCATGGCAGCACATTGGCAACCACCCACAACACTCTTGCAATGTGAATTACTTTTTGAAATACCACTCACAGTTTTATTATACTTAAATATTTTAAATAACTAATGTGCTAGAAAAATAAACAGACATAAAAAATGCAAAGGTTAGCACTATTCAGTGGTTACTTGTTTGCCACAACGTTATATGAATACAAATTATCTTAATTTCAGAGCTTTTTCCAAATATTGACATATACGATTATTTGCAATTAATTTGATTAATCTATCAGTGCATTATATAATTCATAGGTCTTCAATCCTGCTCCTGAGGACCCACTGTCCTGCAGAGTTCAGCTCCAACCCTAATTAAACACACCTGAGTCAGCTAATCAAGGTCTTTACGATCACTTGAAAAGTTACAGGTCAGGGGACCGTTCTTCGTACATCGCTTATTACATCCGAGATGAAATGTCACATCCAAGATGA